TCTCTCTCTCTCTCTCTCTCTCTCTCTCTCTCTCTCTCTCTCTCTCTCTCTCTCTCTCTCTGTCTGTCTGTGTGTACTTACTGCTGCCTTTATGGAAGGACCCTGGAGGCATCCATTAGAAAAACGGAAGCTAAGCTGAGGGAAGCACAGAGAGATGCAGAAGATGGCCAATCTGCGGCTCACCAAATTGCATCAAAAGTTCAGTTCTTGAGCGAGAGCTTTTGTGAGAAACTGGCAGCAATGGAGAAGACATGGAAAAGGTCAGTCCTAGGCTTCCTTCCATCCCCTTGGAAAGAGATGCAGACAAAAGACAATCTCTCGTCTTGCATGTTTTGAATTTTCAATTTTGAAATGGGAACTGTTATTTGAAGTTTGAACTTTGAACTGCTTTTGTGCCAACTCTTTTTCTGATTCTTTTTGTTTGTTTGTTTGTTTTCAGGGACTTCCAAGGCTCTCTTCCTCGATCTAAACTCCAACCCCTGTAAATACAAGTGCCTCCATGTGCAAAGAACTCAGCTCAAAATCCGCACAGAGTCACTTTTCAGAGTTGAGGGGGTTAACCAGGGCTGAAAAGTGGGGGTCCCTGTTAACCGCTTATGTTTGGTCCAAGTCCAGATTCAGGGGTCAAAAGTCGTGTCTCCTGCCGACAGAAGGGTTTCAGAAAAGTCCTTCGGCCAACAAGTAAACGGTCGAGGGTCGAAAGAAGCAGCCTGTGCCCCCATGAGGTGGTAGCTGACTTAGAGGGAAATTAGGAGTCAGGCCCATCTCCGGAAAAAAATAGGTCGAGACTCCAAGATTTCGTAGAAGTAAACCACAGCCACAGATCTGATGCACAATCAAAGGCTGTCGTCTGTAGACTCTGTGCTGTTCCAGATATGTTTCCGGGGCCTACTGCGTCCAGGCACACATTGCCCGACAGCAAATCTGGGCCATCCAGATCTCAGCCGTACAAGGAGGCATACTGAGGCAGGCCAACACCGGTCAGCGCTACAAAACATGGCCTGCCCCAGCCGGTGCACTCGTTCTGCCTTGCATTTATTGCTGGAGGCTGGAGCGCTGCTTCATTCGGAGCTGGGGGAGGCAGGAGAGGCTGGTGCCAGAGAAGAAGAAGACAGTGCCAGCCAGGAGAGAGGAGAGAGACAGTAGCCATAGCTAGGAAGGTCACCGCAGCACCATAGGTGAAGGATAGAGGTAGGGCGAGGAAGAGGGTGATCAGCGCTTGTGAGGAGGGAGAGAGAGTGAGGAAAGCTCACCTTGACTTACTGGTTGGCGCTGGTGGAAATGAAGTAGTGTCTTGCACTTGCAGACTGGAGGTGGCAGGTGCCGACCTCCGTAGCTGGGGTTCATTTTTGCTGGAGATTGGGCGCCGGACAGAGAGCTGCGAGAAGACTGTGAGCTTAGGCGGGTTGGAGGTGTGCAGCACTCCTCGCAGCCCGGCTATAGGCCGGGCCCACTTTGGCTGCTTTGTCGGCTCCGCCTGTGTGATCAGGCCGTGGGCGTGATCTCACAGGCCGTATATTGTTTCGTCCGGTACCGATGTCGGTACCAGTCCAGTCCAGTCAGTCCGCTGGGACTATACCCCAGCTGCAGCATGTCTTTTCATTCATTTTGTATTCTTCACGTTGGAGTATATCTCGTGTACTGTGTGAGCTTGGTGTGTGCTGTGTGCTGTCACCTCCATACTTTGACAGCCTTTCCTTCTCCACCGCCACCATCCACCATCTCTCTCTCTCTCTCTCTCTCTCTCTCTCTCTCTCTCTCTCTCTCTCTCTCTCTCTCTCTCTCTCTCTATATATATATATATATATATATA